CCATCTATCCATCTATCCATCTATCCATCTATCCATCTATCCATCTATCCATCTATCTATCTATATCTATCTATCATCTATATTAACTATATATCATCTGTCTATATCTATTATCTATATCATATCATCTGTCTGTATCATCTATCTGTTATCTATCTATATCAATATATATTATCACATCCATCCATCCATCCATCCATCCATCCATCCATCCATCCATCAAATCTCTGTCTATTTACCTAATTCAATATCTACCTATCTATCTACCTGCGTGCCTGCCTGCCTATTTTATCTAGCTATCTAGCTATCTATGTATCTTATTATTTACTTATGTATCCACCTATCTATCTCTTATCTAACTTATTATTTATGTATCCATCTATATCTATCTATCTATCTATCTATCTATCTATCTCTGTATCTATCTATCTATGTAATCTAAGCATGCATCAACATGAAAACTAAATTTAAAATAGAGGCAAGAATAGTTACAATTTTAACACTGAGATTTAATTAAAAGTGTGTGTGTGGGGGAGGTCTTTGGGGGCACTAACCAGCCCCCCACAGCTGCATGCTTCTCTGTGAGGCCCCAAGCAAGATGGCTGAGCCAGGTTTTTGAAAGGCCAGGAGAGTGTGAGCAAGGAAAGTTTTCTTAGGGCTCTGTGGCCTTTGCGAACAGCCCTTGGGGGAGGCGAATGCCTGGTTGTGGTGATTGTCATTTGTCCCGGCCTTCAAATCGCTTTTCTTCTTCTTTCCCAGGACACACCATTGGTATTGGGGACTCCATCGCTGATGCCAAGACCTACCAGGACATCCAGAACACTATCAAGAAAGCCAAGCAGGATGTGATAGAGGTAGGGGGCAAGCCGCAAAGACCCCCCAAAACTAGGATTGCTGATAAGGCCGTGGGTTGGGTGCCAGGAGCTGGGGCTGGGTCACCCACAAAGGGAAAGGCTTGTGGGGTCCTGGGTGCTCTCTGAGCTTGGTTGTTTTCTTGCAAGCATTTCATGACCCAACTAGGTAACTTCATCAGGGCTTAGAAGCGAGTGAGGCTTGCAGAGTGGAGGAAGGAGGAGGAGGAGGACTGTTGAGTCCTTGAGCTTATAAATATTCTCTTCTCTTGGTACTTGGTCTGGAGGGAGCTGGTCCTGTTTCCACAAACTTAATTTTGCCTTGGAAAAAGTTTCCAAGTTGGTTTAAAAGTGGGATAAATTTTCCTGACAAATTAAAATCAAAATAGTGTGGAAATCTTCCGTAGAGAGCAGCAAAATATGCAGGGAGCCGGTACAGGGAAAGGGTGGAAATTTGATGAGGAAAAATCTCCCTCTGATAGGTGTGGAGGGAGGGAGGAAAGAATAGAGATGATAAGGGGGAAGGTGATAGATGGAAAGGAGAAGAAAGGAAAGAAGGAATAGAAATGGGAAGGGAAGGAGGGAGGGAGAGAGGGAAGGTAGGAGGAAGGCGGTAGATGGAAAGGAGAAGGAAAGAGGGAAGGTGGGAGGGAAGAAGGCGATAGTTGGAAAGGAGGGAAGGAAGAAGGAACGGAATAGAAATGGGAAGGGAAGAAGGGAGAGAAGAAGGAAGGAAGGAGAGGGAGTGGAATGTGGGAGGGAGGAGATAGATGGAAAGGAGAAGGAAGGGAAGGAAGAAGGAACGGAATAGAAATGGGAAGGGAAGGAGGGAGAGAAGGTGGAAGGAAGGAAAAGAGGAAGGGAATGAGGGAGGGAAGGGAGGGAGGAAAAAAGTAATAGAAATGGGAAGGGAGGAAGAGAAGGAGGGAGAGAGGGAAAGTGGGAGGGAGGAAGGAGATAGAAAGGAGAAGGAAGGGAAGGGAGGAAGGAAAGGAATAGAAACGGGAAGGGAAGGAGGGAGAGAGAGCGAGAAGATGGAAGGAAGGAAGAGAGGGAGGGAATGAGGGAGGGAGGAGATAGATGGAAAGGAGAAGGAAGGGGAGGGAGGGAGGAAAAAAGTAATAGAAATGGGAAGGGAGGAAGAGAAGAAGGGAGGAGATAGATGGAAAGGGGAAGGAGGAAAAAAGGAATAGAAATGGGAAGAGAGGGGGGGAAGGGAGGAGATAGATGGAAAGGAGAAGGAAGAAAGGGAGGGAGCCATGGGAAGTCATGGGAAGCCAGTCCTGGCTGGGGAGGCCTGTCTTGAGCCCTTGCCGTCTCTTCCATTCTCCAGGTCATCGAGAAAGCCCACAACAACGAGCTGGAGCCCACCCCTGGCAACACCCTGCGCCAGACCTTTGAGAACCAGGTCAACCGCATCCTGAACGACGCCCGAGACAAGACTGGCTCCTCCGCCCAGAAGTCCCTCTCGGAGTACAACAACTTCAAGTCCATGGTGGTCTCGGGGGCCAAAGGCTCCAAGATCAACATCTCCCAGGTAGGACCCTCCTCCCACCACTCCGGATCTCACTTAGTCGGTAGGACATCGGAGTTCTCATCTGAGGGTCCAGGGTTCAAGTCCCCGTGCAGGAAATTGGTTTGGAAAGTGGGAGACAGCGAGATCTAGTTCCCTCTTAGGCAGAAACCTGGATAGGCGTGACTTTGGGTCAGTCACTAGGAGACTGGGAGTTCTAGGCCTGCCTTAGGCATGAAAGCTGGCTGGGGGACTTTGTACCAATCGCTTGGACACTGGGAGTTCTAGTTCCCCTTTAGCCATGAAAGCTGGCTGGGAGTTCTAGTCCTACCTTAGATATGAAAGCTGGCTGGGGGACTTTGGGCCAGTCCCTGCCAGTCCAATCCATAAATAAGGATGCACATCATATCCAATGGTCCCCACAACAACAACCATCCACCTCACAGGGTTGTTGTTGTGGGGAAAATAGGAAGAAGGAACACTGGATATGTTCACCCTTATTTATAAATAACTAGCTGAAAACTCGGTGTTCCCCGTGTATTTATTTATAGGGGGGGAAATGTTCGGATCAAACATAATTTCTAATATTGGATTTCCCCCCTTACCAGAGGGAGCCCCCTTGTAGAGTACTGTGAAGCCATTACCATGGTAACTCCACTGCGCTGTACAGTAGAAGCCATTTTACAGCAGTACAGTAGAAGCCGTTTTAAGGCACAACAGGCTGTATCTTAACAGAACCAATGAAAGACCCCGAGGGGTGTTAGGGGGTGTTTTACCCCCACAGTATTTGTTTCCAGAGAGAAAGTCATCTGTGTACCAAGTTTGGATGAAATTGTTTTAGCTGTTCCAGAGTTATGCTGGAACACACACACACACACACACAGGTAGGTAGGTAGGTAGGTAGGTAGGTAGGTAGGTAGGTAGGTAGGTAGGTAGGTAGGTA